ACACACACACACGCATACACACATTATAGATCTGTTAGTAATAAATAGAAACACATTGTGAGACTGAATGACAAGTTTTGCTGTTGAAAAAACAAACTTCTGTGAGGACTGTGCAGAAACATTTCTCACCAGTGGGGGTTGAACTCGCAGTGAACCAAACCCAAGCACACCACTGACTGAGACGTAGTTTGCACCAGAGTACTGCCCTGATTACTGGCAATATGTAACACGATAACATGAGCTCTGTAGAAGCCGACGTCACACACACAGAAAGGTGGAGGAGGAAGAGGGAATAAGTTTTCACATGTCTCTACTTGAGGCCACTGCTGCTGCCTGAGAAGAAAAACCACCCCTGACATCACTGAGTGATGGAAGCAGCCAGAAGCGTAATGTGGTTAAAACTCATAGCCCAGAGAAACGCCGCAAATCTTTAATCTCCAGAGGAGAGAGGGATGCAGGCTGCAGGGTATTGGGTCAGATTTCTGAGTAAATATGCAAATGCAGTGCACTCACAAAAGGAAGATTCATGTCAAATGCTGAGAGGAAGAGCTGGGGACTTTCTGCAGATAGAGCTGCTGCTAAGCTAGTAGTTTAGGTTTGTTTGCCTTCTCCAGAATACGCTCCTGCATTATATCTTACAGAATAACACTGCATCACGCAGCACTAACCCTAAACTGCAAATCACTTAAAATAATGCAGATATTTGACCAGTCTCTTGGTTAGAGATGCAACCCATAGACATTAAAACAACATCTGTTTTCTGTCCTTCATGTTTCTGAGAGGAAGGATGGATTCATGTTTACATCAAACAACCATCTTACTTCTAATACCACAAATGTATCAGCCTATCAGAACAGTAAATGGTGTTGTGTTGGTGGTTATCACAACCGTTAAAATGCTTTCGATCATTTGTTCTAAACTGACCCAAAGGTTTGTCGCCAATCCGTCTTCAGTAGATCATGCTTGTGTGTCAAAGAGTCAATGGAGCACTTTTTAAACATGTTTTGTTCTGTTTCTTTGTTCTGTCATGTTTTGTACCGTGTGAGGTCCAAACTGCACAACTTTTAATTTGATTGGTTGAAAATGTGGGAATTATATAAAATAGTTGGTGGTGTGGTCCTGAGGCTGGACCAGATGAGGATCATTGCTTTAAGATTGGGGCGACTGCAGCCAACAAAGGCAACAATTATCTAGGTTTTATCCCCACGTCTGCAACATTGACCACATCAGCGCATTACCAGGCCTTTGTTGTCAAGGAAGCAGTAATAAACAGGAAGTTAACATTGGAAAATCATTTATTTTAATTTGGTTTTGAAACCAAAACTACTTGGTTAGTTATAGAAATGTTTTCAAAGATTGTGGTTTCAGTGATACAGTACTTCAGGGAAATAATAGAAGAAGGAGGTGACGCCATGTTAAAGTAAGCTATTTGAATTTCCTTACATCAGTTAAAATACTCCAGCTTTGACGTTTGGTCTCCATCCATTCACTCGAAGCCCCCTCTGATGTGAGCTCTTTATAACACTCTTATCTGAGCACACTGAGCTTAAAGGACGAATGTGCGACTTTTTGATCCAGTAGATGTCGCCCTTGAGCACCAGCATGAAACTGTAACAAACTGCTGTTTGGCGACACCTCCACTTTCAGACACACAAAAAAACAAAAACGTACAGTGCATTCCAGTGATGAAAATAATTAGTCAGACCTATTTTGTTTTTTAACCAGGCTGTAAACATGTTAATTTGTGCTGTAAAAACAGATTTTTTTACTTCCTGTGTTCCTGGAGCCAGCCTCAAGTGGACGCTCAACAAACTGCAGGATTTTGCACTTCTGCATTTACACCATATGTGGTGAAGCCCTAAAGACTTTGTCATTCTTTTTTCTGTTAATTTATTGAAAACTACAGAGACACCGAGTGGCAAATTGCTGCTCTCCAAATGGTTTACACTTTTATAAAGATGAGTGTTTGGAGAAAACTTTGTACAGAAATGGAAGCCAGAACACAACAATAACAATCGCGTAATTATAGATGTTATCAGAATACATAATGATGATGTTTTATGCAGTTAAAATGGCCAATTTAGTGCCGGCCTGTCTCTTTTGCCATGTGGGAGGTTGTTGCATTGAACAAAATATGCAAAAAAGAAAACGGATGTTTTACCTGCTTGTAGTGAGCTCTGAAGATTTGTTGTTGTTTACAGGTTCTTCAAGCACCGTCTTGAGCCTTGAGGAATACTCTTCATGTTTATGAAGTGATTTCAGTAATGAGAGTTAAGGATGATTAACAACGTTTAAATTCAGCCAGTTTATTTGGCCGCGTGCCTCCTCTCCGTTTGCAGGACTTTTGTCTTGGGGAAGATTACTGTGCGTGCCTCCTGCAGAGATCCTGATAAGGCCGACTGTGTGCATGCAGCGTGTGCTTTTGAACCGCGGGGGGAGAAAAAAAGCATCATGCAACAACGTTCCCTGTGGGAAAGCATGCTGCAGATGACATGTGAACTCGGGGTATAGTGAAAGCAATCCATCATTAAATGAAGACGCTGCAAAGACACCTAATACACACAGAACAAGGTGATCAATGAGTGCACAGTGCTGCGTGATAGCACCGGCAAATGTCACACATTTCTCAGAGGGGAGATGCTTTGGAAGCCCTTTTCTGTTGCCGCAGGAAATGTGTTTCAAAGACATGAAACCAAAACTGAACATAGAAAAATATCAAGAGACATTTGGGGCAAAAAAAAATACTTTGAATCAAAATTCCAATTCAAAATACAACACATTTTAAATTCCTATTTGAATGGAAATTTAATAAGGATAGTTTCATTTTAACGATATCTATTCAGATTTTCATCAGTCAGTGTGTTAGAAGCCAGACTCTCGAGTAGACGGAGCCCCCGCAACCTTCAACGAAGTGATCTGGGACTACTACCAACCACCACCATCAGACTGTAGGGATTTGTCCCAATTCTGAAGAATGGGTGATTTAATAATTACAATAAGGAAACAAGCTGCCATATATGTTCTGATTGGTCTAAAGTCATAAATGCTGGTACTTAGGGAAGTGTATATACCAACATTGCAAATTTGAAAATGTAAGACCACATAAATACATTTTTAAACCTCAAGATCACACACTGACAGTCAAAGCCAGGATTTATTTTCTTAAAGAGGAACACACGCCAGGATTGATGTCATTAGATACCTTTCATATCAGATACTTCTCTTGTGAGCATAACTTCCATACTGAACTTGTCATAAATGTGTAGATACCATATATTGGATCGTTCTCCTCTGAGATACGGACATGTTCTCATTACACCTTCTATATTAAGTCTTTGGGCACACGGGAACACTGTTTGTTCTCTCATAAAAACACACAACAATACACTTGTCCCCTGTGCTCGATGAATAAATATAGCATGCTAAGAATACCTCACCTTTGAGCCAAGCACTTAGCTGATTCTGAAAATGTAATCAAAATTGGCAAAAGACAACACTTCCAACTTGGAAATTTCATTTAAAAAATCAACGACAGCTCATAAACGCTTAACCAATATCTGTTGTCTAATATTAATATTGGTCCTGCATGGTGCAAATGTGTTTCCAATAGATGCTGACGAAAACCGTTCATTACAGGTGATGCAAATAAAGCAATGCTTTTTGATGGTTTCTGAATATAGTCATTCACTTAGTGTGTTGATCAGTTCGGTTGCATTAGTGTCATTACTGTCTGCAGCACAGTGTCAGCACGTGTCAGCACGTTTGACAATGTAACATGGTATGTAAGAAAGTATCCTTCTTAGCACTTTTGCAAAGTCAAATCGATGCACTACTGGTGCACAATCATGGAGACAAGTTTTTTTTTTTTTTTTTTTTTTTTTTAATCAAAGCTCAAAAAGTTGGCATTGATCCGTAGCAGTCTCAAAAATATGTTTTGCCATTTTGTAGGTAGAGGAACATCAATCTTCTCATCTATGTTTGAACATTTACGTGCATCTCCAATCTGTCTTCCAACTTCTTCAATATCATATAAGTGTGTATTAAGTAGGTTATAGAAGAATAACAGTAGCATAAGAAAGAGTGCATTTTTACACCACTTTTAGGATTTTTTTTTCTTCTGTAGCCTCAGCCTTCAATAATGAGCAGGAAGTTAGTATAACATCAGTCGAACACCCTGTTAGGATACAGAGAGAGAGAGAGAGAGAGAGAGAGAGAGAGAGAGAGAGAGATGAAATGAATATTCCGCCTTCCCACTCTCTACATGAGAGATGAGGCCGTGCTTCTGAACTCACGGCTCCCTCTACAGTCTGTACAGTGGAAATTTTCCATCCAGGGCAGCAAAACAATCACACTGACTGTGGTGAACAGTCGCGAGGACACAAACGGAGACGCGTCCGGAGATCACACACACACACACACACACGCACACAAACACACACACATGCAGTCTTGTGAGATGTGTGTCTGAATCGCCAGCGGAGGCATTATATAGCCTGCAGATGGAGTGAATTTTACATCTGGAATATTCCTCGTTGTGGATCTACTGTTTTCTGCGGACAACCCCCCCCCAAAAAAATGTCTCATGCTTTGAATACTTGAGGAGTGACGACAACTTTCCTCTTTCCGGACTTCACGCGGAAGAAAAAAAGAAAAGGGGGGTGCAGTGGATTTAATAATGCAAACAGATGAGTTCGCCGATCAGGATTTGCAGTTTTAAACAGGAGGTAGTTTGAGGGTGCCTACAGCCGGGGAGGGTGGGGGGGGAGGACACCCAGCTATGTGGTCTGCGGAGATGGGTGCTTTGCTGAGGTTCATGTCCGCGGATGGTGCAGCTCGGCCGGGCTGCGCACAGTGCCTTTGGGTGGCTGTGATTGGACCGGACACGGATTGGGGCTGACTGATGTTTGTTCGAGAGGAAATGTTTTGGAGGAGGAGATCAATATGAGTTACTGGCGCACGCGAGGTGGTTGGTGGGTGGTTGGGGGGGGGGAGATGCCAGTCTTCACGAGCACACCTATAACTATGAGGACGGAGGGAAACTTGCAGCAGAAAGGATTTTAATCTCATGGATTTCAAATCAGAAGAGATCAGAAAGAAACGCTCACCACGAGACTTTTATGTGTATTTAATGCGATGTGTTTGGGTGACTTTGCAGACTGAAGATTTTGTTTTCACAAGTGGATATGGATCGTGTTTGTTTTTGCACTAAAGTTTTTCAGCTCTTTTTGGCTGTCATGCATGAGACTTTGGTGTTGCATCATTCTCTCCTCACAAATATGATTTTTTGGACGGACATTCACTTTAAAATGCAACTGAAGCTATGGGACAATTTTATAAAGAAAGAAAACATTCGTCCTTATTTGAACATTTAGTGAAATGTGTTCAAATATATCCGGAAACATGGCAGTTAACTGGACTGTTTTTTCAGTTTTTTTACTACCGCTGTTCGCAGTTGGGACAGCTTTCTCTGGGGTCTTCAACACCACCGACAGAGACATCTTCACAGACGATTTGCTGCAGGTCAGGCTCACACAAGACAGAGCTGCTGAGCAGTGGAAACTCCAGTCTAGTGATTCCCATCCCAACCTGTATTTTAACCAAGTGGATGTGTTGCACTTGAGGCAAAGGTCCTCCACCACCCACGGTCACATATTTAAAGTCATCCGGGCTGCTGCGCTCACCATGCTGTCTAACGCTCCCTTCTACATGCCCCCTGTCAAACACGCCGAGTTTACAAGCAAGTGGAATGAGATTTATGGGAACAACATGCCTCCCCTGGCGCTCTACTGCCTGTTGTGCCCGGAGGACTCTGCCGCCCTGCAGTTTCTTGTCAAGTTCATGGACAGGATGGCTGAATACCCGGACTGGAAGGTGACCAGTGCTCCTAACGACGAGGTCCCCATGGCGCACTCTCTCACTGGCTTTGCTACTGCTTATGACTTTATTTACTCCTACCTGGACGCACAGCGGAGGGATGTTTATTTAAAGAAAATTCGTTCTGAGACAGAGGAGCTGTATGAGCTGTCAAAGTACAGAGGGTGGGGGAAACAGTATCTTCAGAATCATCAAACCACTAACATTTTAGCCATTCTAACTGGTGCATTAGTGGTTGGGTCACATGAGGACCCGGAGACGATGTTATGGAAACAAGTGGCGGTGAATTACATGGAGAAAACTATGTTCCTCCTCAACCACGTCGTTGACGGCTCTCTCGATGAGGGGGTAGCGTACGGGAGCTACACAGCAAAGTCCATCACACAGTACGTCTTCTTAGCTCAGCGTCATTTCAACATTGACAACATGCACAACAACTGGCTGCAGGGACACTTCTGGTTTTATTATGCCACTCTGTTGCCGGGGTTTCAGAGAACTGTGGGCATTGCAGACTCCAACTACAACTGGTTTTATGGGCCAGAGAGCCAGCTTGTTTTCCTGGACACATTTGTCATGAAGAACGGAACTGGGAACTGGCTGGCTCAACAAATCAGAAAGCACCGACCCAAGGACGGTCCCATGGGGCAGTCGTCAGCGCAGCGCTGGGCCACACTTCACACAGAGTACATATGGTACAACAACCACCTCACGCCGCAGCCTCCACATGACTTTGGCAAAGCGAAGATGCACATTTTCTCAAACTGGGGCGTGGTGACCTATGGAGCAGGGCTACCAAACGGGCAGGGGAATACTTTTGTCTCTTTTAAATCGGGCAAGCTGGGTGGCCGTGCGGTCTATGACATCGTCCATGACAAGCCTTACTCCTGGGTGGAAGGCTGGAACAGCTTCAACCCAGGTCACGAGCACCCTGATCAGAACTCTTTCACATTCGCTCCCAATGGGCAGGTTTTTGTGTCCGAAGCCCTTTATGGTCCAAAATATAGTTATCTCAACAATGTCCTGGTGTTTAGTCCATCCCCGACAAGTCAGTGTAACAGTCCATGGGAGGGTCAGTTGGGGGAGTGCGCTAAGTGGCTGCGCTGGACTGATGAGGGTGTGGGTGATTCCAGAGGGGAGGTGATTGTCGCCTCCTCCCACAGGGACACGATGTTTGTGAGCGGGGAGGCCGTGTCGGCGTATTCCCCGGCTATGAGACTGAAGAGCGTGTTCAGAGCTTTGGTCCTGCTCAACTCTCAGACCCTGCTGGTGCTCGACCACGTGGAGAAGTGGGCCGACTCGCCCGTGAAGTCCTTCAGTGCATTCTTTCACAATCTCGACATTGACTTTAAATACGTCCCTTTCAGATTCATGGACAGATACAACGGCGCCATGATGGATGTCTGGGACGCTCATTACAAAATGTTCTGGTTCGACAGCCAGGGTCGCAGCCCTGACACCAGGATACAGGAGGCGGAGCAGGCGGCCGAGTTTAAAAAGAGGTGGACGCAGTATGTCAATGTCACTTTCCCAATGACAGGCACAGTCAGCAGGGTAGCTTATGTTTTACACGGGCCATATGTCAAAGTGTCCAATTGTAGATTTGTGGAGGACAGTAAAAATGGCGTGAGACTGTCTTTAACCATCAACAACACAGAGAGGATAGTTTCTATTGCTACAAACTATAAAGACATAGGAGCAAGGTCGACTTATTTAGGATTCGGCGGTCATTGTAAAGTTGAGGATAGGTATCAAATCACTCGATATGGCCTCGGAACGCAACTCATCCCTAAACAAATCAGCAGTGATAATCAGCTGTTTGACTTTGGGTTCACAGTCAACGTAATAGCAGGGGTTGTTCTCTGTGTGGCCATAGGATTTCTAACCATGCAGAGAAAGTTTTATGTCTGCTTCAGCAGGCTGATGCGCTACGCCCTCCTCTCTGTGCTCATTCTGTGGATTGCTGAGCTGCTGTTTGTGTCTAACAGCTGCGATCAGCTTCTCTGTGGGGTAAAATGGAAAGGTGCGGGTGCCAAAAGTGAAGTAAACAAACAAGTCAGACTCTATGAGCAGCACCGGCTCCCCCTCCCCACCGTCGTCATAACAACCCTCCCAGGATCAGGCTCGGAGATCCTCAAGCACCTTTTCTACAACAGCTCAGACTTTGTTTACATCAGGGTTCCCACCGAGCACGTGGACATCCCCGAGACTGAGTTCGAGTTCGACTCTCTGGTCGACGCCTGCGAGTGGTCGAGGTCGGACGCCGTGCACGGACGGTTTAAGATTATTCAGGGCTGGCTGCACTCGCTGGTCCACAACATCAAGCTGCACCTGCAGAACATTCAGCTGGCGGAGGGCAGCAGGGTCAAACAGCCCCAGAGAGTCGCGCCCTCCCGGGACAGAAAGAAACGATCCAGGAGGAGAGAGCCGGCGTCCGAGCTGAAGGGCAAACTCCGAGCCAGCCTGGACAGAGATGCAGAGTATGTTCGGGAGATGAGACGCCACGTCGCCGAGTACCCCAACGCCCGGGTGGTCCTCAACATGCGGAGCGGCAGCTGGGCGTTAAAACTTCCTTTCATTCAGGAAGTTGTCGGACCTTCTTTGAGGACAATCTACCTTGTGAGGGACCCCCGAGCGTGGATTTATCTCATGGTTTATAACAGCAAACCCAGCCTTTACGCCCTTAAAAACATCCCGCAGCACCTTTCCTTGATATTCAAGGAGGACGCCGTGAGGGATGGGTGCCCGACTGTGGCGCCGGAGTTTAAAGTAATCCAGAGACTGCTGTCCCGTTCGGAGACGAACCCCGTCCTCATTCTGGCTCATCTGTGGCTGGCTCACACCGCAGGAGTGCTGAGGGTCAGCGAGGGCCTCCCCGAGGAGTCCTACCTCCGGGTGAGGTTTGAGGATGTGGTCAACTTCCCGCAGGAGACGGCGGAGACCATACACACGTTCTTGGGGGTGCCTGTGTCGCCCGCAGCCCTCAACCAACTTATTTTCACCACCTCCACGACCCTGTACAATCTGATGTATGAAGGAGACATTTCACCAGCCAACATTAACATGTGGAGACAGAATATGCCTCGGAAGGACATCAGACTGATAGAGGACATATGTGGGGGTGTGATGAAGAGGCTGGGCTACACCAGGTAGTTAACTTACTGCTGCTGGTCAGCACTGCAAAAACTCAAATCTATGTAAGAGTGTCTTTCTTAAATATCTTAATATGCTTAATATGAGCCACGTTCACCTGACAAGTCCAGATAAAAGTCTTATTTCAAGATAGAAAAAGGCCTTGATTAATGGTTAAAAGTAGAACAAATCTGCCAATGGGGCAAGAAAACGTTACCCGAGTGTCTTGAATTGGGATGTACTGACTACTCTTGATTGTACATCCCATTTCATGACACATTTCTGGCAGTTCTGAGGCCTCATTCTCTCGCTTGTAGTATCTTAAAATACGATGTCTGTCTCTGACCTTTCATGAAGAATGTGGCTCATAGAAACAATGAGATGGTTTTTTTTTTGACTAGAAAACAGACGAGTACACCTGCTCAGATTTGAGTTGTTGCTGTACGGAGCTGTCTTGTTTACTGTAGCTGCCGGTCTTAAAGAGTTCTGAAAAGTTTTTTTTTTTTTTTTTTGGTTTTGCACTGACCCCTAAAGTTGAAAAATATGTGTTTTCTTTTTCTCTGTTAGTTCTGGGTGTATGTAAGGTGTTGTTTAAAGTACAGCAACAGATGTTTGCGAGGGAGGAATGTATTACATTCAAATAGGTGAAAGGGAGCGTCTGCAGCAGTCCCCCCCCCCTTCCGCTGCCCTTCACTCTTACTCCAATCAAAGGAAAGACTTTTTGCTGTACTCTATGCAGATGAATGCCACTGAATTTCAGCATAAACCTTGTGTTACAGCAACAGATCAATTTCCCAGAGAAGACTTAATGCTGCATGTCTTAATTAGAGATGAGAAATTAGCCACTTCCTAATCTGTGATGTCAGAGGAATGTCTGTTAGAAATCCATAACTGTTATTTTTTTCTTTTTTTGGAGGGAGGTTGGCCAAGGGACATTTTGGTGAATTGGTACAGAAATGTTATGATGCTTATTAAGAAGCTTATTTATTGACAGTCTTTTCATTTTGTAGCCTGGGACAGACTTTCAAGGACTAATTTGGCTGTCAAGAATTTAATATCTGAATTGAATGCGTGCTGTTCCCTTTAAAAACAAAAAAACAAATGCTGCAATATATCCGGAGAAACAGACGACAGTAGTGCTTTATTGCTCTGATAGAAACATGTGAATGATAAGGATTGTACTTTGATTTAAAAGGGACCATTCTGACGCTCTTAGACGTCATTACAGCTTGATGGCTTAGCACTTTCACATTGACTCCTTTGATTGTATGCGATGCTTTGGTGCAGTAATCCAAAGCTAAACTTTACTGTATGTGTGCTCAGTTAGCTTGGAAATCTCAAACCTCTGAGGACATTATGACTAGAAGAAAAGGAAAAGCGAGACATATTTATGGGTTCCAAAGACACATTTCCCAAAGAATCAGGGATGAATATGATTAATATAACTCCCTTTGGCATTTATTGAATTAGATCAGAGGGAAGTGCTTAATAGGGATCAAACTGGGAGAAAAAAAACAACCTGTCAGGCTTGACACATTTTTAGTCAAAGCAATTTCCAAAGCATCCCCCTCAGCTACTCATATTAATCTGCAAGAATGCCATAACGGAGTCTTTTTCTTTTTTTTTTATTCTGTTGTTTTATTGCTGTGCCATCTTCACTAAAAAGAAAAAAAACAAAGAAAGAAAAAGGACCTGGAGGATATACAAACGGCGCATCTTTGCATTTCCTGTCGCGGTCAATCACAAATCCAATGATATTTTCTCTGGCCCTTTTGTTTTGAAAGAGTTCAGCGAGGCGTGGACCGAAAAACACGGGATGAATATTAAGTGATGCTGAAGACAAGAAGTCAGAGACCAAATCCTACTCTGTGATGTGCTGCTCTTTGGGCGAAAAAAAAAAAGTTTGCTAACCTTTTGCTGCTGTCTTGCATTACTGTAAATGGATCACATGCAACATGCAGAGAGCTCACACTCATCTCGACTTCCTGACTGCATCTATACACGTGCAAAAAAAACAAAAACATACGCTGCCCATGTGGAAATATCTATCTTTTCCTCGCCTAGAAACAGCCCTGTTTGTTTTTTTTCTTTCTCGATGAACACTGAAACCCTTGACTGCCTGGAAAAGCCGTTTGATGTTTGTGCTCTTTGAATGTGTAGACTTGGCAGACATGCTCTCACTTTGGTGTTGCAATCCTGTTACCAACTCTGTTTTGTATTTGCTCGTGGGGATATGGTTCCTTGCTTCTGTGGCCTTGAATTACAATCATTTACTTTCTATGGGTTTCTTTTTTTTTTTCTGTGAGGACATGGAGACAATGTAAAGAAAATAATAAATTCATAAATATATCTCAGAGCGGGTCTTTGTTCTGATGCAGTGAATGGCAATGCAAAATGATCAAAGGATGAATCACATGTTTATACACTGTCAGCCTTAGCAGCTACATTATACTCATGTTAAACTGCTATTATCTCTTACTACAAAAGACAGAACACGCTTCTTAATTAGTGCGTAGTCTCACTATGGTTACTGCTAACCCGCGAGTAAAACAGCTCCTTATGCAGATGTCTCTGTGCAGCAGCAGAATCTCCATTTTATTAGACGTGCTTGACAGAAGGCTAATTGCTGCGTCGAGGAGGAGCCAACAATTAAAAACATGTCAGGAAATTCTTACGTCATGCTCACGACTGAGACGGGACTTTTAACAGAAGAGTGGCTTTGAGAGAGCACATGCCGTGTCTCGTGTCTCAGAGCGGCCTCAGTGAGTCAGTCATTTCATTAGTCATTTGTTCTCGATCCCTCCTGTAACAGTCTGATGCTTGGCAGAGTCCTCGTCGTGTAATCCGTCCATGCACGGGCACCGACGGTTCTGAACGGAGAGACCTCAGGCTAAAATGCTTCAGAAGGGAGGTTTCACCATGTCCGGACTTGCATCTGCTTTTGGGTTTAGTGGCCTTTGTTTGATGCAGTCAGGATCAAGGACGGAGTCACTGGAAATGTGTAGAATGTGTAGAAATGATGCTCATAATACTCTCAGAACTCAGTTTAACTAAAAAAATATATATATTCTGACAGAATAAAGTGCTAAAAACTCTTTAATGGAATCAGCCAACTTCACTTCTACGGGTTTCAGAGTCTATGGTACAATCTCTCCTCACATGTCAGAGGCTTATATTGCCCTTTTGCTCCTTTATATCTGACAGCTTTAAATATTAGATTACACTTTGCATACCCTCCCTGTCCTGTTAATCTTGACATTTCTTTAGGATTAGGTTTTTCTTTTTGAGGGTTTTACAATCCAATTTCTGCTAAATAAACGGTTGAAAATGTGCCCTTACTAAAGACAGAAAACAGCAGGGCTGAGAACAAAGTTGTTTATCTGAGGGCATTTTTCAGAGATTAGCTTTTCTCACAGGAAATAAACAATCTTGTAAAAAAATGCTGGATTGCTGAAACCACAAAGCAGATAATGAAGCCGTTAGAGAGAAAAAACATCATAGCAGTGAAAGCAACATGAACATAAATACAGACAAAAGCATACACATATATATATATATATATATATATATATATATATATATTATAAAAAAGGATATCACACACTTTACTATCAAATAGGTACTTTCATTTTTATAACTTTTTACTGAAAACACTTAGTGTACATGTTTGACTACACGTGTAAATCATACTGAGTGTTGTTGCTTTGCTTGAGTAAATGATCTTAATATTAATACATAGAACTGCTCATATGTCCTCAAGAGGACACTTTGTTGTCCTCTTGAGGTAATTAGTCTCGGACTCAAAGTGCAGTCAAACATTCAGCTGCTTCCACTCAAGTCAATCAATACAAAACATCTAGATGTAAACAGAGAGGCACATACCAATACAAAACAACTCAGCCTATATTACACATTACCCAGAATGCACTGGATCTGCACAAACACACCATGAGAGAAAAGAAAATAAAGGTAAGAGAATATAAAGATTTATAGGATTTATAGGCCCCCCCCCCAATAAGAATGTGGCACAAACTGTAGGATTTCTGACGCCACATTTAAAGAACTGTACAGAACGTTTACTGCTTGCAGCACTCATTGGTTTCGTAACTATTACCAAAAGCTTATGCTGCCTTCAGGTGCTGCTCGGGTGGTCTAAGTTTCCGACTTGGGAAGTCGCTCTTCAGGCTTCAGTGTGTTCACATGATTCAAATTCGGAAAGTTGGAATGTTGTAAAAACAGCACAAACAAGCGTTGATGCTACAAAAAGATCAGTGAAATGTAACTGTTAAAAGTTCTATTTTGTAAAAGAACAGTTAATGTGCAATACGTGAATTAATAAAAAGTTTGTTAACATTTACAAAAAATATCTTTCCCCCCATGAAGACGATTCTGACATCAAGTCGGGAAGTCGGGAAGTCGGGCACCTTATTCTTTTCCGAGTTTCCGAGTTGTTGGTCCGACTTGAGCAGGTGTTCATGTGCATTTTACAACTCGGAAACTCTTTTCCCCGATGTTTCCGACATCACATGAATGCAGCATTAGCCATGACAGAGAACAGGTTTTAGATTGCAAGGTTAGGAAAAACCTCTCTCGATTCTTATAAAACAGTAAGAAACCCACAGATATTTATTCATGACCTAATGAGGGATGTTATCTGACACATCTAGCTGCAGTATCTATGATTATTATCCCATTATGAATGTCTATAGAAGATGTATATGTGCAGTAAGAAGCACATTGATTATTGATTCTTCACATGGAGGGGAGATTTATCACAACCTGGCAACCCTGAAGTTTCTCTATTAGTAGCTTAGTAATGGAGACAGGTGAAAGAATGAAGTGTTTAACTTATAAAACCAGGGAATAAAAACCTTATATGAAACCATTTACATGCAAGTTGAAGTACGACCACAGATCACTCAGTCATTGAACCGTTAACATGATGGAAGAAAGCAAAACTGGCTTCCTCCCTTCAAGCTAATCAGGCTAGTCCACACATGATGTTCAAGTCTGCGGAGATAATCTTTCACCAAAGGAGCGTAATAGCGTCTTATAAAGAGGATATAAATAAAGCTATATGTCGGAGTGGATTTCTCCCATCGGAACATGCGAGTGTGAACGCCTCTGCACGGAAAGACAAATCTGCGTTATGAAACCCCTTTTGATGTCTGATCACAGGAAGCAGATTTGCGGAACTAATTTAAGATGGAAGGTTTAGCTCACACATTATCTTTGATGTTTGTTAACCAATACATAATCATTGCATGGACTAAGGTTTCATAGAGGAATTGATGAAAAGCTGCTTTAGAATCTAATTCTGCACGCAGCAGCTCGGGGGGGAAGCGATCGAGTCTCTTTCTCAGACTATTAAGTACACAGAGGTTATCCACTGAGAGAGAGAGAGAAAAAAAAAAAAAGAAGCAGACTCAATTTCAGCTGAGTAGTCATACCCTCCCCTGTTCCACCTTTATCTTCCTCTGCTGGTGAGTCCAGGTCCCTGAGGAGCCTCTCCCTCGCCGGCAGCCATCGCTCCTGCCACTGCTCATTAATTAACCTTTGCTGCAGCCGCCATCAGTCAGGGGAGAGGAGTAATCATCGATACTGTATGAGGCTATTGTGCCGCAGAATTAGCTTACAGATTGAGCTTGTTAAGAGTTTTTATAAAAACGTGTATTCAACTTGACGTGTGTCCTTCAAAATAAACTTTGGATGTGTGCGACCTTTTTCCCAGACAAGGTGTTTAGCAGCCGGCGACGCTCTCTCCTCTATATTTAGTCATTTTTCTCCTCAGTAAACAACACATGTGAGGTCCCAGCGTCCCTCTGTTCAATATTACCTGCTGATGGCGCCGCTGTGTTTGGATATGGAGGAGCGGCACATCCCGGTAAACGCTATTAATAAGAGCTGACTTTGCGAGGAAATATGGCGCGTTGTCAATTTGCAGTTGGTGGCAGAGTCATTTCTGGAGTGAAAATGGGATCTTCACCAAGCCAATAAAGCACAGCGGCGACTGCTAATGAAGCCCGGTCTGGTCTGATAGCGCGGGGGAAATCAGAGCAGATGAGGTGTTTTGATTTCACATACTGAGGCACAATCACAGTTATAAATCAGAAGGAGAAAAAAAAAAAAAACCCTCCTTAAGGCTTCTCACAGTCCTTATTGCCAATTTATTCTTCTCCGTTTTTCCAAATGAGATTACTCTTCAGACAATAAAAGGGGTGTTGGGTTTACTTGGAGTTTGTGATTGTAAATTGTTAGGATTTGAAGGTCCTTTGTGTATCATTTCTTCCACTCCTTTATTTGCAAATATTTTCCCGTGCAGATCACTTTTTTTCTGTCAGGTCATAAAACAAAGGCGAGAAAAACGAGATGTTTGGAATAAGAACAACATATTATCACAGGTAGGGATATTCATACTTATGAAGGCATGGCAAGCAGTGGTGATTTTAGAGTGTTTTCAGGCCCTAAAGGCAAAAACCACTTTGGGGGGCCCTCCAACCAGCGTCCATCACCATCATGTCTGACACTTAATCCTCGGACGGATGATGAGCAGCGCCTCTGATGGAAAGAGACTGTCATATTATAAGAATAAACTATGCTGTTGTTGTCAGGGGCGACACACAAGAAATCATGAATTAAGTAACATCTTAACAAAAGCATGAAGTTATTAAATAATGAAATGAATTGTTCCACGTCCTCTTTCTCAAATGATGTCACATCATGGAGTGTCTGCATGTTGTACTCACATGAAAGCATCTTGATGTATCACTAATGGTACACACACACTCACGTTATTTTAAATTGACCTTTGCATGAAAGAACACGCTGCCTTTATTCTGAAAAGCTCCAGTGTGTGTGTTCGTTAGTTTGTCTCTAAGTCAAATAAAAGTCTGCAGAAATTGAATTTCTCCTGCTAAGCAGTATGACAATATGACCGAGGCCGTTGCTTTGAAAACTTTCTGACTTTTTGACTTTGAAAGTGGGACCCTCTCTGTATTAACCAATATCCTGTCAGCTTAACCTGCCTCTCTTGACATTTTGGTTTAATCCCCTCTGTTGTTCTGCACGCCGCAGACGGTTTGCAGGGCCGACTGAGCAGCAGCTCTGACTCCTCTGGAAATGGAGCCACTGTAGTGTTACTGTGTGCACGGCTGCTCTCTGTCTCCTGTTTCAACCGCTGTGGTTTGCTGGCTGTGCAATAAAGAAAAAAGGAAAGAAGCAGAGTGATGTGTAAGCTTCTAAAAAAAAAAAAAGTGATAAAAAGACAATAAGACGACTAAATGATTCAGCTGATGTTGGACTTGTGTGAGTTCACAAAGTGTGTTATGGAAAGGGTTAGCTGCCGTGTGATTTA